ATGAAACAATAATAATTGTTGCCGGTAAGAGATAAGTAAGGATAAAGTTTATAGTGAAATAAGCACGAACAAGTTCATGAGAGTCAAATTTGTAATCGCACAGTGACGGAATGAGTTGGCTATTTCCAGTAAAATTTGAAAAGAAGTATCCGTTAACCCATCCAATCCCCCAGATCAGGGTATTAGCGATAAAGATAACTTTTGCATCGTAATTTTTCTTAGTATGTTGGGTAAGGACTCTATAGCGGTCGAGTGCAATAACAGCTAGTGATAGCACCGATACTGTGTAGGAACTCTGATAAATCATAGAGGTAAGAGCACAGTCACTATAATTACCTTCTAGATATATTGATGGTAATTGCGTAGTATTCATATCATTGAGAGAGCTAACAGTGCTTTTTACATCAAAAGAAAATGCTAAAATGCAGGCGAGACATATAACATTAGCGATCGCTTGATTGCATAATAAATAATACGTAGATTTATGAAATGATTTCTCGCGAATGATAATTATAACCAGCAAAACATTATTTATTATCCCAATAATTAAGATTGGTATTAAAATTCTCAAGAACAAGATTTGGAAAAACCCAAGAGATGCTATCCATTCACTAATTTTGCTATAAGCCTCTGTAGGAGTCGTGATGTTGCTATTAGATTGGGTTGACATGATGACTCGACGTAATGTGTTAAAAATGAAGAAATCTAAGTATGCGGATTCCTTTTATATGGTGACCTAGTTATATTGTCTGATATGCGACCTTGTATTTATATAGAAGCAAGGATGATAGCATGACGTAACGGGCTTAGATGATTATTGTCTAGCTCAAAAGATGGCAAAGGTTAACTTTTTAAGATGATTTGAATGACGAGCTATTCAGAAGTTTTTATTGTATTTTAATTTCATTCGGTAAGATTAAGTAAATTTAATTAGAATTTTGAGATACAATGCTGTTCAGTTAATTAATTGTTACTTTTGTTACAATTGTTGTGTAGTATATATTAGTATGATATCCATAGAAAATAAAATAGTAATGTTTTTTTAAAAGATTTATTTATATGTTGATCGATGAGTATTTCATTGATACATTTAAGTAAACTATCAATGCAAAATATAATAATAGACCTGATTGTTATTTCTTGCCCTGTAAATTAACACGGTAATTAATGTGGTACAATTTGAAAGACTATTCTGCCAATTTTACATTTGATTGCTTTCAATTGATAAAACCCGCCGATATCACCATTTGGCTACTTACCGTAATTATTATAATTATTGTTAGATTGGATAGAATTTAACGTTGATCTAGACTTTCTTCCTAGATACATGATCCATATGTGCAACCCGATATCTGGGTATCGAAAATGACATTGACAAGTGGATAAAAAGACACCGCATATTCAAATACGGATATAAATGTTAATTATTTAAATATCAATGTTAATGGGATGAAGTTGAAACGTCTAGCACCTACGGGATACAACCTATCGTGTTGTTTACGCTACATCAACTCGGATATGATGTCATATTACATTAACTTGGAATATAATAGATGTTGTATATTAAGTAGATTTCAAGCATGATGTTTTTGTATTATTTACTCTTAATAGCTACATTATGTAATGGTCATGTAGAGCGATACCTTATTCTCGATGACATCATTATTTATAATTTTTGTAGTAGACTGCAGTCGGTGTTCTTAATGGATAGTTTAATATTGTATTTTTGAGGTTATTGATCCGTTGTTATCTACTTGATTATGAACAAAGAAAACTATACGCAGACTAATCTTGATTCGATAACTATAAATTTCACTGATTTGCTTTTCGCAACGAGTAATTCATTTGTAGCGGCAGTACTTTCATTCTATCTGGATATTATTGTAAAGTCGCAAATTATCATTGCAAAAGGTTCAATATTCATTACTTCAGATCCTTCTTCAGCTTTACTAACAATCTAGTAACTTGACATTATATTTCCTATTTATTTCCGATCTCTTTCTAGTTGTAGATACTACAGACTTTGTGGAATAAAGAGTCTACATGTCTATTGACGTAATTTGGCAATGTCGCGTAGTCCTCCATCGCTGAATATGAAATTAATTCTGACTGATTTAGTATTTATTACCAGATGATGGATTTGTATTGCAAGTACTATATATGGTATAGCAATGATAAGAAGCTTCGTCTGCCTAGCTTTATCATTGATTAAAAGGATTTTTCATATAATACCCTTAATATCCGACTTTTAAATGAGTTTGTTGTTTTCGGGATTCAAGCGATGCACTGAATCACTTCTTGTACTCGTCAAGGACAACGACTACTCATCGGAGTTTTATTTCCTATATGACCCCACTTGAATATCATCCATTCTAATTAATCAGCTAGACAAAAAGGAAATGATCCAACAATGAAACTGCTTGTATATATACTTGATGTAAACCGTTTAACCTTCGTTCTACACGCTAAATCAAGCTGCTTACATATGAAGATGAAAGTTAATATCGACACAGTTCATAACAGTATGTACATGGCCATCTAAGATAACGCTAAATAACCTTCGGTTTTAATCGAATTTACCGAATCACCGGGCTCTCGCGCCATTCTTATGTCATGAAACTCTATTTTCTCATTTGTTGTTTGGTTTCCGCCATAGAAGTAGTGTAGAATGCCATAATAGTCAACTGTATTAGTATTTGTATGTACCTAGTCGCAAGGCCTACAACACCAAGTAATCAAGAATCAATCAATTGATTATTATTACGCGTATTTATCTTCCTCAGATACGAGTATACTGCGTTAAATACGCATAACTTTCTCGATTCTAATTGAAGTTACTATTCACTGGGATCTCGTATCATTTTCTTGTTATGAGACTTTATTCTCTTGCTGGATTATACTGTCGTAGAGGCAGTCTACTGCAATATTCACTCGATTTCCATCGTGGTCGGCTGTAACTGAATATACCTAGTTGCAAGGATTGTAACACTAAATAAACTAGCCATACACAAAGCTATCGTATGATATTATAATTGATCCTCCTCGTGTAAAACATGCGCTCGAAATATTCCATTTTAATTAAATTCACAGCATCACTGGGCTCTCGTATCAATTTCTCATTTGTTTTTTAGCTACGGTGATACTGTCAATACAAGTAAAGTATACTGTAAATCAGGGCTCCAAACAATGATATTACTCATTGTGCTTTAGTTGTCCATCTCAATATCAAATTCAAGGGACATTCTCATGTGCAGTTTTACTTAACTATCCTATTAGACACACAATAGAAAAGACATGATTTTTTCAATATCAAATTCAAGGGACATTCTCGTGTGCAGTTTACTGAACCATCATTTTAGGCACACTATAGAAAAGACATGATTTTTTCTAATATAGTACAGTGCGGTATATGGATATAGATATAAAACATGCGCTAAACACCTTTGGATTTACTGTTCATTAACTTCCAATTTTACTTGGCTCTCGTATAGATCACGGTTACGGCGTGAATTGTATACTGGTTGAACCGACCGTATATGTACCAATGACTGTTATTAGTTTGCATTAGAAATTTGAAAGAAATAAAATAACTCTACACTGCAGTAGAAATGAATGGAAACATGAAGAGCCAATTGCTCAAGGTTGTAGTGATCTCTTGTGGAATTTGAGCCAAATTTAATGGAAATGCTTTGAAAATTGAAATGATTTAATTAAAGGCGGCACTATAGCTGAACTACTTTCAACTAGTATAGAGAGCTCGCCATGCTCCAGAAATAGTGGTCTAATATTAGTTCTTGTCATGAAGCTCCATTTATTCGCTTATTGCTTCGATCAGGTGTGCTCTCTGTTTCATTCGGTCGACCACCATACTGATCGACTGTTGGCAGTACAGTATGTACCGAGTGGGCAGGACTATAATACTAAATAAGTAGTAATTATTATTTTATTTTCAAATAGAAAACATGCACTCAATACCTTTCCATTCGAGTTGAATTTACTACTTTCCTATTCTCCCATGCCATTCTCTTGTCATGGAAGATTCAAGGATTTTCTCTTGGGAGTCCTTGACGCCTACTATCAGCTTTACCGTACAGTAGTATAGCATGTACCGAGTGGGCAGGATTATAATACCGAATAAGTAGTAATTATTATTTTATTTTCAAGTATAAATCGTGCATTCAATACCTTTCAATTTGAATTGAATTTACTGCTTTCCTATTCTCTCATGCCATTCTCTTGTCATGGAAGATTCAAGGATTTTCTCTTGGGAGTCCTTGACGCCTACTATCCACTTTACTGTACAGTATGTATCTAGTGGCCAGGATTGTAATACCAAATAAGCAGTAATTATTATTTTATTTTCAAATATAAAGCATGCCTTCCATACCTTTCCATTTGAATTGAATTTACTGTTTTGCAAGGCTCTCATGCCATTCTGTAGTCATGGAAGATTCAAGGGTTTCTCTCGGGAGTCCTTGACGCGTACTATCGGTTTTACCATACAGTAGTACAGTACGTACCTAGCGGCCAAGACTAGAATACCAAATAAGCAGTAATTATTATTTTGTTTTCAAATATAAAACATGCCTTCCATTTGAATTGAATTGATTGCTTTTCAAGGCTCTCATGCCATTCCCGTAGTCATGGAAGGTTCAAGGGTTTTGTCATGGGAGTCCTTGACGCGTACTATCCGCCTTACTGTACAGTATGTATCAAGTGGCCAGGATTATAATACCAAATAAGCAGTAATTATTATTATATTTTTAAATATAAAACATGCCTTCCATTTGAATTGAATTGATTGCTTTTCAAGGCTCTCATGCCATTCCTGTAGTCATGGAAGATTGAAGGGTTTTGTCATGGGAGTTCTTGAACGCGTACTATCTGCTATACGGTCCCATACAGTAGTGCATGTACTGGTCAGTTTTCACTACTGTGCCGTATTGTACAATGAAGAGTATGGTCCAAGGTGCGATACCAAACGCCCAACCACTCGCTCTATGGACCGATTTGGCTTGACTGCAGGAAACGCCTTTCCTGGCAAGTTGATACGTCCAAGTAGGTAAACGACTCAAACACTCGTTTGTGCATGCATGCCTACTAGAGAATGGCGCTGTTGAATCAGCAGATCCTTCGTCGTTAACCCAACTTTTTAATAGTAAACCTGTTGAGCACCAAGCGGATTATCAAAATTTTGTAGCTAGTAAATGTGATCTTTCGCCGCTAGAATTGCCTCCCAACGGATAAAGTCTGACTAGAAAACATGGTAAGATTGCTATAACGTCTAAACTACTGTACATGGAGAGGAAGTATTACTGTCAGCGAGTAGTTTGATGGCAGTGATGATGATAAAGGAAAGCATGACAAAATGATACAATGTAAAATGTCTTGTAGAGTGCTACGACTGCCTTCAGCAAGGTGTTGTTGATGAAGTAGGCCCAATTTTCCATCCAATGGAGAAGTAAGCGATGACCAAGCGATCACAGCGGGTCTTGAGCAACGAACTAGACGTAGGCTGTAGCTAAGCCCTGTATCTTTGGCAAAATAGAGCTTTCATGCTTCATGTCTTTGGCAAAATAGAGCTTTCATGCCATCCTTTTTCGACACAAGCACTGTAGATTGAAGAGCTGGTAGCATCTTCACAACAACTAGAAAGTATGGCATCTACTTGATGCTGTCATACTGTATGCCGTAATCAACAAATGAAAGACGTAAAATACGATTAAAATTGTGTTCATCTGAACTTTGCCAGACATATAACTTCTTAATTCTAGAAGAAGAGCTAAATGGCATGTACTGTATATACACTTATGTAGTAACGTAGAATTTGATCTACTGTATACCGTATCCAACAATCCAAAACGTAACTTGATGTTGTAATGAAGTGCATCTTGACTTTCCCAACAAGTATGGTGGTCTTGACTATATGCTGTACTAAAGAACTACTGATTCATCATCAGTATTAACCTAATTGATGGGCATAATGGAGCATTTGCTCCATTCGGTATTAAAAGACGTAAAATGGATCTTCATTCGGTAAACTTTTACTTTTGACTATACTACACGAGATACTGTGCTGCAGCAGAAGTGTTAGTACTATCTATCGGACTATCGATCATGAGAAATAACTTGATAGTGAGTAGTATCTATCAAATTAAAGACGTAAAAATGTATTGTAATCCAGAGGATCTTTTACTTTCTGTGTAGAAGGGTAATAATTACGTAAGATTTGAACGTTATTTCGAGCGTTGATGTAATACAGCGTTTCGATCTTTGCGGCGGCGTCTGCCGTATTAAAATGATAAATGCATTTACTCGCTCGTATTTATAATCTGATACCCCCAAGAAAAAATTTAAAATCGATATACTTCCATTACAGTGTAGTTTGATTCTGATCATTGAAGGCATGGATTTTGAGTGTACAAGCTGTATTCTATGGATATAAGTCATGTCGTTCACTGTGTTGTCTACTCTACAGTAGAGTAGACATCTTAATAAGACGTCGTATCTGTAGATACGTTTATGTACAAAGTTTAAGATTAAAGTTGGATTGGTTTATACTGTATTGTATACTGTTAATCGTAATTGCTTTGAATGAGACTTACATTCACTTTCTGTCCTTATATTTCTTTATTGTATTCGTACATGTCAAGTCTCAAAATCTTAAAATTTGCGATATTGGCGACGATCTGAAGAAGAAGTTACGAAAGTTTCGATTTCGCCAAGAAACCAATAACGCAGCTATATTATGTAAGTATCAATTCAATGGAATATTTGAAGTAGTGGATAAAATCAATTTGCAAAGACACAGTGCACAAGTATGATTCTATTATTTCTGCTTCTTGACCTTTTCAAATAAAGTAGTTACCAAGTGTTGGAAAATGATGGTAAAGTATCCTAAATAGTTGATATCCACTACCATATGTACTAAGTTATTATCTCTTGTATTGATTTGGAGGACTACCAAAACCGATAGAACCGCACAAAACTGTATTATACCTATCGAATAGCATGCTGTAGTAATAGTATAGTTCAAGAATTGGCATCGATAAACACATAACTATTTTGAGATCGTGCAATCATTGTGTTAATACAGACCAATAGGACCTTACAAACTTCCTGACGAGGTTATACTCTAAGACAGTACTATAGATATACAGGGTATAGTAGTTGTTGATGAACCTTATAGTTAAATCGCCAATTTGACTCGCTGACGTTAACTTTGAATATTAAATTTCAATATTTATACCAAGTAACCTCTCTGCAAGTTGAAGTTTTGACGTTGTATGGACCTTTTGACGATATTATTATCTCAAGTGTATTTTATTTTACTACCTGTGTTACAACAAATTCAGCATTACTATCTGACTTTTAGTGAAAATCGATGCCGAATCTCGGGAAATTGTCTGGGATGAAGAATATGAGGTACTACTAAGTTTATTTCACAAATTACCTACCAGATGCTCTTTACCAAGGCGCCATTTCTAACCAACATTCAAAATTGATGCTTATGTGCTTTGCAAGTAATTAATAAAACGCTTTACTTTGGTTACAATATCGTAATAGGATGTTACCTTAGATGATTTACAAAGTGAATTGGCAGAACATTTACCCCGCTATATCTTGTATTGTTACTGCCACGAGCATCAAGATGGTAGAAAATCTTATCCCTTATGCTTAATTTTTTACAGCCCACAAGGTAAATTGATTTTATAAATGTATCGTTTATCTTTACAGTATTCGTATATTCTTCCGGCTTTAGAAAAATGGCTATTCGGAAGAAATGGATACCGCTAGTACATTTATGTATATCTTATTCCTAAGCATTTAGTAGGTAATGTTATAATTTATATACGATGCAGGTTCTAAGCCTGAAATTCAAATGATGTACGCTGGCTCAAAGAATAATTTAGTTAAGACGGTAGAAGTTAGCAAGGTAATGTCGAATAACGATTTGTAGTGAACTGGTTTAGGCAATGTACCCGATACTTCATAAAGAATTGGATTTATGGTTATTTCATTTACATTAGGTATTTGAAATTAGAAGCCTGGATGAACTAACTGATGAATGGGTGAAATCGAAATTATCATTTTTTCGTTAATATTGTAGATATTGTCTGGTAATACGGAATAGCTGTGATTCTAAGTTAGAATATAGCCCTTCTATAATTATGTCACTACTGTATGCTACCATAATATGAATGAATTGTTGATAGTATGCAAGGAGTAAGATAAATTTTGAAAAGATACAGCTCTGTATCCATTTAACGTGTAACTGTAGACAATAATCAAACTATATTGGTAATTGTTGGTGTTTGATATTTCAGCTGCACAAGCTGTCATTTCATGCATATCGTAGCAAACTGTGATAAAACGAATATAATATTAAGAACATCATTTATTGTAAGAAATGTAATGAACTATGATTGATTTTTACAAATCCAACGATAGTAGATGTGGACATGGATCATCTAGTTGCTACGTTATACAATACGGTATACTGTGAGTTTTATTTCTTAGATTATAGTGGTCAAATATGCGATTGGGAATTGTGCAGAATTACTACTTCCTATTGTACAGTACTTTGTAACTCATTTGTCGTTGTTGCAGTTAATATTGCGAATAGGTACATATTACAATTTCGTAATTAACCTGGCAACTAGACTTTTGCATGTCTGTTGGGCATATTAATTCTATAAAAATTAGCCACTATTTGTTTCAGTGTTTATTGGATTTGTGATTACTACAAGTCATAAGATAATAGTTTTTGGTATAAATAAATTCTAGTTGATCCATATCTGTCACTTCGGTTTGTTAATGAAAATAGCTTAAGACTATTCCTATGTAGCTTCAGTATACGAAAAAGCTGTTATTTCGCTATTAACCTAGATGTTAACAAACTACAATAATTTCATTAGTATGCGGATTTAAATGTTGATATTAACCGTCTTAAATAGTATCAGTTTTGAAGTGTGTTACGAACGAAAAATTGAAAACAGCCGTTAATGCTTACAATTATTATGACGGCGGGTAGTAGTAAGATACAAGCTAATACCTTCTAGAAGGGGCGTAAATGAGTATTTATATGCCTGGTATGTGTCTCAGAATGCGTCATTTTATTCTACGTGTTACATAGAATATTTCCATGCTAGTTCAGCCTGTTATCGATGTACGTCGTATTATCTTTTTATATGATTTATTTGACTTCATAAATTACAGGATTTAAACACGATAAGGAAGCTATATCGGTATTATGTGATCATCAATTACGCTTATGATGATAGCACTATGATTACCTATCATAGCATCAGACAGATTTTGAATCTTCGATTAAAAATACCTTGATAGAGGTTCAATCATAGTTATCAGTTGATTTCAGTAATATCAGGCTCATTGTGCTTACAATATGCTCGACTGGATATTGTTAAATATACGTAGATGATAGCTAAGATTTAATTAATTATTCCGATCCTTCACTCGCGTACTAGCAAGCAAGATGAAGATATCTCTATTATCAGTCAATTTTCGAGGAGTAAACTATTGAATCATACTATAGAAAGCTATTGTGCGTAATTTCTACTTAGAATAAGCGTGTAGCTTATTGAAATCATAATTATTAGATATTAAAGGTTTAAATTAAATCGTAACATAAGATGGAAGATTCAAGAGATAATACGTAAAAGGAAAAGAGTTAGGAATTAGATTGATGCTAGAGGGTGGTCTACAGATAGCGGATCAGTTACGACCTCAATCCTATCGAAGCACCCTTACTGCTTCTTAACATTTGGCTCCAAAACGAGAAGAAGTTGTGCAATTTGAGTTTCAGGTAATAGTTTTTTCGTCTGAAAATCGGCCATTGCAGTTTTGACTTTGTGTAACTAATTCGAAAGAGTTTTCAAGTTTAGTCCAATTTATTCGCATTAAAAAGTATACGTAAAAGTATCTAAATTTTAGAACTATAATTGATCCTAGTATATTTTTTGAAGTTTGTGTATGTGGCCTGGTATAGTATTAATTACTGTTTATAAAATTTAATATGCCTTAATCTCCTAAATAATAGTTACTGGCATAAGTAATACTGCTATTTTTTTCTGCGAGTGCTATTATTTTACAAACTAAAGAATTTTATTACATATAAATAGATTATAGAGTAGCAATATTTATTATAGAACAACTTTTCAAAAGTAAGTAGGCCGTCTATTTGAATTAGCTATTGCAGAACCTGTAAGCTGGGAAATGTTGCAGGTAAATTGAAAATAGAAATGGATAACTTCTTATGTATCCAATATACATTGTACTTACTAGAGCTACTACCTCTATCCAATTCGATGTTGCAGGCGATGTAAGATTTTGCTTAGGGTTGCTCGTTGGATCCATTTTCGATTGACAGAAAGAAATAAAGCATTGGCATAATTGACTTATATCCATGATATCGTCTAATTTGGGATTGATCTTATGTGTTATGTCAGCATTCTCGCTGTTCGTATTTTGCAGTATTTGAGAACAGGAAAAATTACCCAACAATACTCTAATCTTTTCAATCTGCTAAAGTTTTAAATTTAAAGAATGACCTTGATCAGATAAATTACTTAGCAAATGAGCTATATTTAAGAATAATATAGTAGTGCTAGTTTCAAGGATACCGCATGCAAATTGTAATAGTATATGAGCACGCTTTGTGTAGAACTAAAGCAAGTAGCATTTAATGCAATAGAACAGTCTGGTATCAATATTAAAATGTATATGTAACCTGACACACTAAGCAGTTAGCTTTGATCATATTTCAATGGCTATGATTGAACCAGATAGTAAATTACCTTATTGCTGCTGACAATAAAGATAGAATCAGTTTTAATACAGCCATGAATAATATCACGGGCATGGAATGACTGCACAGCAAGGGTAACATCGCGTAGAATGTGGAAAAAAGATTGAGGAGTTAGGTAGCAAGGCTGGTAAGCTATCAGATCGCTAAGTAGTTCTGTATCCTGATTGTTTAAGGCATAGCAGGTAATTCTAGTAAATTGCAATTAAATAAAATAATCTTTTAGATGAATTTCTAGCTTAATCTAAATAAAACTTCAATCTTTATAGCATATCTAATACTCACAGTTTATTGCTAAGCGAAAATGACGGTTTTTCGTGAGAGCTTTTACTTTCACTTTCATCCCGAAACCATAAACATTCTACAATATTTTGAAATTTGTAATTACTTGATTTTACTTTAAGAAAAAATGCTTTTTCTCTTTCCCAACAGGATCGATCCTCGAGGCTATAGATTTTAAGTAATCCAGAGGTGGATAGATTTTCTGGACTTAATTCGTTGACTTTCATATGAATCTATAAAGTAAATACGCATACGAATGTGTACCAGTATGCAAACAGATATGAAGCTTAATAATGAAATAGTAGACACAATTTCAAAAAATTTAAAATTGAATGTTAAGTATCGTATGTTAATGATCTATTGTTGATGTTTCAGGAATATTAGCTACTATTAATTAGTTGTAGGATAGTCATTTATAATTGCATGGGAGAAAATTACTAGCAGTATCGGAATGATTATCTGGTTACGTGATTGATGTACAGCAAATCATGTGATTAACTAAGCCGATTATTATGGATTTGTTCCATTTATTAGGGCAGAATTTAATCCCAAGTTGTTAGAATGAGCGATTCTATATACTGCGATTGAAATTTACCGATTCGATATTGCTAGTGTAGAATACCAGATGAAGATCGAGTAATTTATGACGATTAACGTGCTCTAGGAGCTTAATCACTTCCTGTAATTGAAGCTGGTAACATAAAGTAACATTATCTGCTTTATATAATTATATATGTTGAGGTAAAGTATATACAGAATGGAGCAGCTTTAGTTATATCAGCTTAAATATAGAATTTTCAAAGTAAGGAGGTTAAGCCAGATTGTAATTGAAATAGGATTATATGCCATCAGCATAGGTTTTACGTAGAATTACTGCAGCTTAATTTGCCTTACAGTGATGATTTGAAGAGTATAAATAGGATAGTAAAATATAACGTAGCGTACGATATATGATTTTTTATATTATGAAAAGAATTGATTTGGTTACCTTTGGGTTCGTGTTCTGTTTAGCTGCAGCTGCTAGTGCTTTATTTCTGTTAGGTTCCAATTCTGTTTAAAATAAGAAATAATAGTTTGCTCGTAGTTAAGACACATAAGAGCATCAAATTTTCGAGTTCTTTACGTCTATCTCCCTAAGATAAGGTGATATTATTATAATAGATTACTTAATTTATGATACAGTATAGATTTTATGTATCAATATTACTGTATACTAGAGAAGTAAACAAGACCTTGGTATAACATGATCAATATTAATATTATGCAGTATCATACGTATTATCATACTCTGAACTTATTTTGTGGTAGATTAAAATATAATAATTATATAATATTTAGGTGGTAAGTTTATAAAGACTTTACTAGATAAAGGAACCGTCATAAACTAAATTAATTATTGGTGACAGCATTGAATTAAGATCTTTAAATTTTGATCTGCAATAATTGCCGTATTTCAGGTTACGATTTAAGTTCGATTATAATTGCAGTCAATAGCTGTTTAAAATATTTGGATAAGGCTTTACTCTTTTATCAGATAATGCTTGTTAGCCTATTTTTATATTTGTAAATTTTGACGGATGTGTAAGGTTATAACTATAAATACATGAACATGTGAAATAGTCAACAGGTGAAACACATCTCTAGATTCACATTTATAATACGTTATTACTGATTATGTACTTTGATTACTAGTTATTTATGTGTATTTAGTATTTATAGTAGCTATTTATTTTACAGCCGTTCAGTATTCAATTGTAGAATTATTTCTCTGCATTTATACAGCAAAAAATTTAGTTTAGTGCGCGAACTTTAGAAAGCTTATTCGAAAAATCTTTTTAGATTGCCTTGCTACAAACTACAAGTTTTTCAATTGATAGCAAGTAGTAACAAGTGATATATCATACCAAGAATTACTTTTATTAATTCTTGATTATATATACTTTAAAAGCGATTGCTTATGTTATTGTCAATAGATTTAATTCAGTTGCGGGTACTTACCTCCACTACATGCGTCAGAATTAGCATTAGCTTCATAGGAGCAAAGTATACAACAAGAGCAGCAGGATCGTATTTTTGTTATTATCAGCATAGCGTTATTAACAAAAGTTGTTGTATAAATTGTGTAAATAATAGGATTGATACATGAATTAAGAGGTAGAGATAAAACTGCAATAAACGGCAATACATGGGTATCAAGTTCTTGTTCAATTGTCGCTTGAATTAATACAACATATAATGGCATCCAACAGATTAAGTCGGTGATAACAATAGTGATCATTTTAGCTCGGACGATTTTTTCGAATTTGGAAATTTCTCGTTTAGCTTGTTTCCGTGATTTTGTCAAATAAACCAAGATTATTATATACATAATTGCGATAAAGATCCAAGTTAGTAGAGTAGTACCACAGTAAGTTAGAAGCCAGCTTAGGTAATAAATATTATCTGTATTTCCAGGTAAGCAAGCGCTGTTCGTACCATACAATCTATAAGATGCAGGCTGATTATAGCTATAAACAAGTGGCAAAGCGGTAAACGTAGCTGATACGGTCCATAACACGATTAAAACGAGAGTAATTAGCTTATAAGAAAGGCGATAGTTCTCAAAAGGATAGACTAGAAATAGATATCGATCCAAAGTGATGAGGAAAAGGATAAATGTTGACATTAGGCTAGAGATCGCTACTAAAAATGAAGCCATAACGCATATAACACTATGTAACCATGTCTCGAGATATTGAGCATAAATACCAAAATAGTAAATATCAGTTACGGCAATCGTGATTAAGTAAATTCCCATAATGAGATCAGCAAAGGACAGATTTATTAACAATGTTTGAACCACCATATTATTCTTTACAAAGCTTTTAACATGCCATACAATGGAAATAATGTTGCCTACTATAGATAAACTACCAATAATCCAGACGAAGATACGTAATACGTCATGAGATAGGATATTAGAGCAGGTTGATATGCTAAATTGATCTGGTAAAGGCTCGCAAAGAGTTGTAGTTGGCGGCGCGTCACAGCATAAGTATTCTCGTGTTGAATATCTATATGAATTTTGTGTCGTGTAGAGTAAATACCATGATGTGATAAAGTGCTTCAAAATGTTATAATAAGAACTAAGATTTATCGTGCAACATTATTAGATAACATAAATTGGATTCGTCCAACACGACTTGGAACTAACTACTGCACTTTCAATCAAGATATCTATGATTTACATATGCAATTTTTTACTGGTATTTTTTAGCAAGTTAATTATATCTTGTGAATTAAGTCGCAAGATCTAAACTGAATTTACTATTGCAAGGTCGATCAATGGCTATCACTTTTAATTAAAGCAACACATCGAATTCTTTATAATACTAAATTACTTTGCACAATCCAATAATATCTCAAAATCTTAATATAATAGTTACTATAAAATGTCTACAATATATATTGTTAATATCTTTTAGAAATAGATACTTGTATAAACATGCAATCAAACGTACAACTTGCACTATTCTCTTCCAATCTCATGAATAATATTTAGGACTTAATTAATCTATTATCGGTAAATCAATCTTAATCTAATTTTGGGACTGTACTACATGTGAGTTGTCGAGTAACTTACTCGTTCTGGTAGTATTTGACAATAATATAGAATTTGATCATATCCTGAATTAATATTTACTATATTTCATTAAGAGTATGGTTTCAGAACTGACTGGCAATTTAATGGATTTAACTTTAAGATTATGACAAAAGAAAAATAGTACGTTAAATTTTCAAACCTTTTCATATCAACTTACAAGTCACGAATGTTGTAAAGAGTAATAAACGCTTCTCTACTAAATTCTTGTATAGGATTATTTCGTAAAATTCTATCAAAAGTTAAACGAGCGATAGTTGCTAATATTTAATTTTTACTAAATCGTCTGTATTAATATCGTTGTTATAGTAGATTAAAAGAAATGAACAATAGTAAGAATATCATTACCGTACGTATTTATGGTTATTGATCGACTTACAGTGTTTTAAGATTTGATAATTTCGAAAAACATCGGTCTTTTAATGTACTTATTTTGTTATCACTTATATCGCTAAAATATATACAAATGAAATCTTGCCGATTAATAAATAAATTCTAAGAACATAATTATGCGATTGAGTATCATATTAAATGTTGCAAATTCTAAGATTTACTACATCAGCTTTGCCATCCATTACTACTTTTAAATCGTTAACAAGCTTGGATCAGAAATAAGAAAGATATCTTATAAAAATTTAAAGCTTGTAATTTTGAATAAGATAATTAGTTTAGCAAGTTCAGTAGCAGGATAGACTTTAAATTATGATCATTTAATCGATGCATGTATTTTAAAAGATTGCATAGATCTCGGTTTCCATAAGATTGAAGACTTAGTTTATTCCTCTTTTGTATTATTGTGCATTTATATGCGTATATTAGATTGTTCCGCATTAGTATATTGTGAAAGCTTGACTACTTTGCAGTTACTGTATGCATTTTTATACATACACTTTATTAGTAAAGCGTGAAATGAAGATAAAAAATTTACTAAATATCTTTAAATATTAATCGTAATTTCGATTTTTTTAGTCAGTAAACCTATATACATTATAGTACGCTATCGGAAGTCAATATGTGAGAGGGTAATTCTGTCTTTAAAACTTGAAATTTTACATTGCTATATTTTAGGTGCAATCAAACAATTAAATAATTTAAGACAATTCTTAGGCCACGAAATTAATTTACGAATTTTATCACTTACAGTGAAAAAAGATTTGCGACTTTATCTGAAAGCGATGATGAAGGACAAACATCCGTGATATTATTACTATTTAGATACCTTTTGTAGAATCAGTTATACCACTGTTATTTACTATTAATAATAATCTTATTTAAGCTATAAGCTACGAATAGAATAATATTCTTGTAAACAATAGCAAATAATTTGAACAGTACTTACAAATCCGTCAGTTGATGTAATTTTATTAGTGAGATGAATGCATCATTTCCCAATTGATTTCTTTGTAAGCTACTAAAATATTAGAATGATTTATCATGTTATGATTATTTGTTAGGATATGACTGTTTACTGAATTTAATATAAATTAATATTATCAGGACTCTCATTAGCATAGCATGATGTGCGAGTTCAGGTACTTTAAATAAAATATAATAATTGAACTACTGAAATTGCTTAACATCGTGTCGCGGTGTTTTCTGAACGCAATTAAGATAGTAAAGTTTAGGGGCTTTACTTTAATTTTGATCAAAAGATAGCTTCTAGTCTAGACATAGCACGCCCGAATATAATCAGACTTGTTCCGATATTATAATTGTAATAAGTGAAAGTGCTTAGTATTTATGAGAATGGCTGACTATACTACCAAGACCACTTTCGTCCAATTTGATTGATTAGTCTTGCTGAATTTGATTGGTTAGTTTTGTTTACTACTAACAAGATCAAACGAGATCATTTTCGTCTAATTTCATTGATTAGTCTTGCTATCCTAAATTAGCATATCTCTTCAATCGGGCTTTAGCCGAATGGACATTGATATTATGCATAATAGTCGTCTATTATGCATACTGATCGAGATCGAGTTTTAGCCGGAACAAATACATGAACTCAATGTATCATATAATAAGGTTAGGGTTCCAACGTTTCAGTATCTAAATATAGCATAAAAATGACCACGGATCTCTGCAGAGTCTATAAGATTAGGGGTAAGTGCTATCGCAAGTTTCTTAAACAGATTAAGGTCCTTGATACCTAATTCAGAAAGACATTTTAAATTTGAACTTTATCGGCTATCTCAGCATTGATTTCTGATATGTTAGCTATCTAGTTCATCATTGATCATAACGGCAATTCCGTTTAAAAGCTCAATTAATATCTGTTAAAATTAATATCAATGGTCAACAATTTATCTTTGCATAAGGGTGTAGATTTATGGATTCTTATAAAAAAACAATAGTAATACACAAGGATTAATGCTTCTAGGACGAGAATCTTACAAGAATTTAATATATTGTAGGAAAGTTATTGCAGTTGGGCTAATCGTTTGGATTTTATGATCATTCAAAATCCTATATTTAAATAGAGTTATTACCGATTTTAAATATAATGTATACTGTAATTGTAAGCAATAGCATTGAAAGTTATACTGAAAGTTATACCGAAGATATGCGATAAATTGCTTAGCATAATTTACTGACAAATTTCTGGTTTTAGTTGATGTTCTGTACAGCTCTTTAGGTATAGATTTTAGGCCAAGGCCACTTATTGTCCTTGTATGTATTCAATCGCAAAATGTTGAGAAAAATAAAATGGCATAAAAAATGTGATGCAGCTTAATAGGTTAGCTATTTTAAATTTTATAATCACTCACAGAAGTAAGTACTGTGGCTTCTTCGATAGAATATCACCGACTTGGTATGATTCCAAGTGACTGTAACTAATATCCCTACAAATATCGAAATCATGATTATAGCCTTTAATCAAGTATACATGGCAATCTAAAGTTAAGTGAAAGACCTCCAGTTGTAATGCATCTATAGCTAACGTCTTGTAAAATAGACAGTCATAAGTTGCATCTTTACGTGAATTTTTAACTCGAAAATGTAAATTATAATCTTATGATACCCATTGCCGTAAATTAATGACAAAAACGAATCTTAAAAGCTCTGAGGTCAAACGAATGAACTGAGTAGATTTACATTCGTTAACATTGATAGTAATAATTAATAAGTTTATGAAAATTTTCATTGCGACTATAGTGAAGCTGTTAGACAAGCTATAGTTGTCAACATGTTATGTAGAAAGTGAATTAGACATAACTTAAAAATAATACCAAAATCTATGGTTGTTAACGATAATATATATATATAAGCAGTGTTTGTGATAATTCAAGTATGTTGATTTCAGCTTCGTAGAATGTGATACTAATTGTAGTGTTTACTTCTAAATACGGTATAGTCTATTTTTAGTAAAGGTATTAGTTTTCACTAGGCAGTAGTATAATTCTAAGACTGTAAGATAATTCTAAATATGTATGATATACATTTAACAAATTACTCAGTAGAGATATCTTATACTCTAGCTAACTTATGTCGTAGCACTAGCTTAACATAGAAGTAACCTATTTTTATGAATCATTCGCGACCATAAATAATTTCCTCCTGCTGTGCTTCTAACATTATAAAAGCTATCTTCTTTCGTCTATCTCGTTCGTTAGTTCTGGTAGTTACACGGTAAGCTTGCAGGCTTTACCTATTCTACACTACTACAGTAATTCGACTAGTCACGTCGTTACTCTCACGATAATCTTACACGATTATTCTCTTACACTAGCTCAATAAAGGTTACTTTTCTGTAAACTATTCTATTGTAATTTATTGCGACTAATGCTGAAATCTCAACCTTCCGAAACATCGCACTAATCAAATAATTTTATTTTCATACTAAGTTCTGTAAATGTTAAATTATGTTTTTCGCAATTATCATATTGTAAATATGTTAGATAAAATATTTAAGCAGCTACGCTTTTCTGTAATTGTTATTCTTAGTCCTTCTTTTCTAAGATCAGCTGTTATAGAAAGTTTTCCGTGTCTATCAGAGCTTGTTATACTATTATGTACGTAGTATCTCAATCGATAGAGAACCAGTAATAAAACCTGCTATTCTAGAATTACTTGTGTGAACTACACTTTAATTGCAGTTAGTAGAACAGGTTATGTTACAACGACATAGTTTAGTAACAGTTTACTATTAAATTAAGTGTCAGCTTAATATACTTACATGATATTCCTTGGTGATTAAACTATGTCGTTGTAACAAAACCTGTTGTCTATTAATTCTCCTCATTAAATCTGTTATTTAAGTTTTCACTTACAGTATCCTAATAAGGTTACATCTTTCTAAAAATGTTGGTTCAATCGTTGATAAGTTATTACCGGCCAAATTTCTAGGTAATGATAAAAAATACAACCACATCTTCATGTGACTTACAATACTTTCAATTATTGATAATTACAAATTTTTAATGCGGGTAATTCTAGGCAACAGATCTTGGTTGAGAGTTGAGCCATTAAAACGGCAAAATGATAAATCTCTGGAATTGAAACAATATAGAGTGGATTAACGAAAAATAAGATGTTAATGATAATGATATTTTTATCGCCAGTAAGATAAAGTTAATAGTAACTTAGGCTATATTAAAGAAATATTAAAATACGGCCATTATGACGAATTTCAGACCTGTAGCTATCGAATCATTGTAATTATTAAATCGGATCTGGCAATCTTAAAAATTAGCTCATGAGAATCGCTCAGTCGATTATTTTGGGGATTTCTAACCCTAACCCTAGTCCTAGCCCTGCAATAAACGCATAGCCCTGTATAAAAAATGTATCGCTGTATCTCCTAGGAAGTGGAAATGATTTATTTCTTCTTTCATTATAGGGGGTAGATTTCGATTTGCACATAAAATTTACATAGCTTAGAGAAAATATATTAATTTCCTATAAATTTGAGGTGATAATCATCAAACAATGTTGATGCGAAAGAATATATGTCATGCTATTAGTTTTCTAACTGAAAAATTGTGATCTTCATCTGACGCACACCCACTCTTCTACCGAACATGCGATAGCATCCTACCTATAGTATATAGAAACTAGCACTAATCTGATGATTTATGTTAGTCATTATATATCTATATTTATGAACACTGTTTTTTTTATTAGGAAGTGACATAAAAGATCAGCCTGTAAATCATTGTAAGAATTAAAAGCTATAATTCTAAATAGGACTCGTGAACTATTGTAGAAGCATATTTAAATCGCACTTTGTTATACAATAAGGAAAGTTCTAGAGAGTCTTTGTATAACATAGACTATAAAGTCTTATCTATTAGAGTAGTAATCCTAATGATAGGACAGATATTATCCCCGATATGTGGTTCAGGGAGTTAGCTATTAACGTAAGTGGCATTAACATATTTAATCCTTTACCAATACTTAATTTAGTTAAGTTAATATCTCGCTTGTTGCGCAAATATGGGTGCTTGTATAATATCATACAAGTCAAGCATAAAGGATTACTATTTCGGATTAATTTCCAGGCATAGGGCACTGTACAGTAGCCTATTATTTTAAATCTAAAATTTAATACCGTACCATAACCTAAAAGCTTAATCCTAAGCAGGTATTAGGAGTTACTCCAAATGATATATATTAGAATCAACTAATTTTTGTAGTACGTTACTCTACTAACGCTTTCACTAAATAAAATATTCATGGTTATTTAGAGTGCTCAATTTTGTAATTTGCACATCAAATTTGGACCATAAATTTCGTCTTAGTATTAACATATAGTATAATGTATGCGAGTTGATGTCAACGATTTGCCCCGTGAAGAAATACGATATAATCTACGTAAGATATTAAATTTAATTTTAATAGAGAGCATAAATTAATCTGATACTACTATTACCAGAATAGCCGCAATAGCATAGTAACTAAGCTGTTATAGTAAATTTCAATCCACCACAAGGATATTTAGGAAGTGAGGCAATATTTTAAGACCGATTTACGGTATATAACTTTATACCCTGTTCTATATACTAAACTAAGCTAACTGTAATAATGAATTAACTGACTATTAACTGAGATAGGTACACCCCGCATAGATAATACTAATCCTATCTGCAAGTACTGAAGTCAGTCAGATAAACTTCAAGTGAAGCTATTATTTGAAGTTTACTACAAAGTTTAAGCCTACAAATCGTGAAGCCAGGCGAAATGATCAAGGAACTCAAAATTCACAGATTGAAAAACATTGTCGGATAGAGTTCTAACCAAATAAAAATAACCAAATAAGATAGATAATATTAGGGTATATAATTATTGATGAAGTATTTAAAAATTATAGTGTGAGATATTTTACAGGCTTCCGAGCTTGGGTAATTCCTTAAATGTTTCTCGCCTCAGTTGGATAATTTCATTACTTTGTAACTTTCTAATGATTAATAAGAAATAGAGATAAATACAGTTACAGTAGAATATTTTTACATTTAACCCTATCATAAATCGTGTTCTAATTTATAGAACAGATTTTTCTGACAATGCTAGGATAATTTCTGTTTTAAGCATACATGAAGTAGTCTAAAACCGTATTATTATCTTATACCCGAATATTTATTACTCTGTAATATATTACTTCATTCACTTACAGATTTCGTAAATTTTTTAAACCAGCGAACGCCCCATTTGGAATTTCTTTAATTTTATTTTGATCAAGGGTGCTAAATAGATAAACATTAGCGAAAGTTATGGTGTGCTTAACTTTCGTACAAGCTTTAAAATTCAAGTAAAACAAAATTAGCACCAGAAATATACAATTCAGAAATAGATGATTGGGATTGTAATTGCAGTGCAGATAGTAATTGAAACCCTATTTCAATCTACATAAGATTTCAACTTCATACCGTTACTTGACTATTTTTAAGTACTAATTCTGGAGAGCTGGTGTTACGATTAAAATTTTTACATAATGCTTATTTTCATTTAATAGACAAAAATTAGTTGGTAGAAAAATTGAAGTAAGGAGAAGTTATTTCTAATAAATTTTATTGATTACTTACAGAGCTAGTAGATAGGGAATTTGGTTAAATAGCTGAGTCGGTATTTCAGCCAGTAAGTTGTTCTTTAAAAGACTGGATGTAAAAAAAGAAAGATATGTGAATGATTAAATAGATATTTATTATCGCTCTGTGATAATCAATCCAATTATTCAAAGTAAATATTTCACAATTACAGATTTTGTAGGGTAGAAATGTTGCCAAATATTCCAGAATTGATATATGAGATCTTATTTCCTTCTAGATTTCTATATGACATTTAAACTAATCTCAGTTATTAAGATCAAGAAATATAATCTTGACCACGTAATTTTCTGTGCTAGATAAATGAAACACTTTCCATGTGATAGAAAATACTGGTATTTTGATGAATTACAGCTGGTACAAGAAGGTAAAGAATGGATATGATTATTTTGCACACGTACATAGTTTGTAGTGGAGAAATTGAAGAAAAGCTGTTGGTTGCAAGGTATTTGATATCATTATTAGTGAGAAATCTGTATCATAGATAAACATAAATTTAAGATTGTTTACAATCATGAGTATAGCTACAATTAGGGGCGGTATCGGTTTTGAATTTCACTATAGCAATTTCATTATATCAGTAGAAGATTCATAAATCGAGATTTTAATTAGTAAGACATAATTAATATTGCAAGAGCCAGATTTTGAGTGTATTAGAAATTCAAAATAAAATACATATACATGTAGACACCTAGAATATTAAGAAAAGTATTATCAAATCTAATATGACTTACACAGTCTGCAAGGATGTCATATCTCTAAAGGTATTACTTTCAACTGATTTAATCTGATTTCTTGAAATGTTTCTATAGAAAGGAATATATTTATTTCAGTACTTAAGAATTTATAAGACTATAATCAAGATTAAACTGGAATTGATATAGAGTAGCTGAGGTCAATGGTTGTTCAATAGTACGTTTAACTATCAGTAATTTGTAGATTATTGATGTCTACAGCTGCATAACGTATAAAATGTAGATTTACCATAGAAGACTAATACCATAATTAATACATATTCTCTGTTAGTTTATCATACTGAGCTTAAAAGTTCTAATTGACTTACTATTAGTTAGAGTAAAGAATGAATTTAATTCAAACTTTTGCCAAAACTATCACTGCAAGTCCATGATTTGGCATTATATTTACGTTACGGTTGTAAACCGTCTTGATATTTATAGGATAAAGTTTTACAAGTTATGGTAATATAAGTTCATTGCAAAACTGTACTAATTTGAAGTACAGTAGTACTAGGAAGTAGAATAGTGTACTATGCTTAATAAAGTAATTGCATGATAGCTGGTATGATAAATGGTGTAGTCCACTTGTAATATTCGTACTGTGTACTGTACGTAGAAGGCCGTATCTGATAGCTATATAAAGTTATTTTGTGTAATGTATTTAGGTAATTCTGAAGTTGTACGGAATTATTGTTGTAGAGGATAATAAGTCGATTTTCCAATTTATCTTAGTTATTTTCAACTGTTATTAAACGAGAAGAAAAGTAAATTCTACCCAGTAAATATGCTATTAATAAATGATACTTTTAAACTTAAATACGACGCTGCCTAATTTTGTCACGTCGAAGGTTTGTTTAATTTTAATATCTTAAATTTCGAGTATATGAATTGCGAGCCTAAAAGGTCATAGAATCCATCCATTACAAAAGTAGAGTAAATCGACTACAGTTAGTTACTCTACCACTTCATAACAAGAATAAGTACTGTCTTATATTTTAGTTATCCATCACATGTAGTACTTATATAAGGACTTTTATCTCGCTTATATTATGTACGGCATACTTACACAAATGTCGTATGTGAACAACTTAAGAAATGATTTCGCTGTAAATGTTGGATCTTGTTATTGTCAAGATAGCTGATTGAATATTTTAATGAAGACGTCGATTTTTAATATCTTGAGATTTGATAGTTCGAGTGTTGTTATACATTTCTTAATAAATTTGATTCTTACATGTTAAGTAATGTTGTTCCATTGCAGATGTCGTGTGGAATTTCTCTCAAGCGATTATTAGATAGGAGACTATCAATGTGAGATTACCAAGATAATAGACGATGTCAAATAGCTAATTTGATAGCATTATCGCCGAATAATTGAAATTAAATCTCGTCTTTTACTTGTAGCTCACATATAACGATTTACATACGAGTACTAAGAGTGTGTAAAACTTAATTAATTATTCCCCGCGTAATTTAAACAGTTCTCTATATAACGTACATATTTCTTAAAAATGGAAAGTTGGAGAAAAATCCATCTTCAATTCTTTGGATGTAGTTATCTTTCACACTACTAAAGAGCAATATAAAGTAGTCCTACGTAAATATATTAGGTTAGAATAGTACATTTGCTGTAATCGTGTATCATTCTTATATAAACTTACATATGGCGTATTGTTAATACTTTTGTTCTGTCATCATTTCTTAATGTGGTTATACGATTATAGCGAGCATCACTATAAGTTTAATCAGTTCGTTCTAGATATTAATTCTTAATACGTAAGATTTTATTGTGATGATTATATTTGTATTGCTGAATTAGAAAATCAAACAGTTTAAGTTTTATTCCAATTTGAAGGAAAATTACGTTTTAAATGTTTTCAAATTTAGTACATGTAATGCTATTAAAAAAGTTGCAGTATTCTTTTATTTATAATATCGTATAGTTATAAGAACAAATTCATGAATAATCAGGTATTTTTATCGTAGGGAAAATTATTAAGAATGATCTATTTATGGTCACAAGCATGTAATCAAAGGACTTATTTCTAAAATGTGCTGGCAAGAAAATGATCTATTTTTTGATTCAATGCTGTATGATGTATGATAATATCAATGCAAATGGATGTAAGTAAGTAATATTTATGTAATCTTGGTGAACTAAGTTTCATTTATTATTCGCGCATGATTAACTTACATATAAGTCATGATTGGGTGTTCATAAAAATAACTGAAGTCTATTTCCAATAATCCATTTTTGGTTAAGTATCTGTAAATAGTTAAGTTTAATTAAGTTACGTGGAAAAAATATACTTACATATCTAAAATTTGTTACTCTCAGATGGCGATGTGATTTTAAGGAAAATGATAGCTTTGTATTCATGGATAAGCAGTTAGTAGGTCGTATTCTTATAATCAGGTCATTAAGCTGTACTTTACTAGAGAAACTAACTAAGAATGTGGCATTTTGTGGCAATATTGAAAGTTCTTACATAGCATTCAAATGTTCTGCATTTTCGAATAAATTCTTAGGTATTTGTGTCAGTAGATTATTGATGAATAACCTATGATGTGAGAATTTTGCGGAATGGCATTTGCTTTAGTGATATTTTTAGGTTAAAACGATACCGTAGATGACTTGAACTTGTTAATACCAGCAAAATATGTCAAATAGTAACATAATAATTCAACCAATTTCTCCTCGTTTTATGAAAAATAACGTTTTCAAATATTATTACAATGTAAACATTTATTTTAACTGATACTTTTTTAAAGATGTATGCGTACATTACAGCCAACATTGTGATTGCGACATCACTTTAGGCTAAAACTAATACAACCAAATTTTAGTTAGATTTACTATGCTTTATTTTAGTTAGTTGTTTACAAATATCTAAGGTTTGGTATATTCTTCAAGTCAAGTGCCTCTATATGTCCAAGATTATTTGAACTGTATTGTCTATAGATCAAATAAATTAATTCAATTTCTTAAAATGGAATAAGTTAAGATCAAGCTTAAATACAATATTTAGGATACAGGTAAGGTATAGCTAGTATTTTCTTCGATTACTAGTTAAAGGCAATTTATAATTGCTAAACATAGAGTATCATTAGTTATAGTAATTTTTATACAATTCTTAGTAATAAATAAAAATTTAGCTAATATATATATAACTACTATATGTAGCCCTCAATGGGAATATGCATATTTTCGACAAAGCCCGCTTGTTTTACATATATTGTCATTATCAAATGGTAAAAACATTAACTACCCTCAATTGATACAAGTAATTGTGGCCCAAGCTTGGCTAGTACAGTTTATAATTACAATGAATGATCTTAAATAGTGTTTAATTTTCTCACATTTGATAAAGGAGAGTATTTTTAAAGTAAGATAAGTAACGGGAAGGCAATTGATTGCCATAGATTCGCCTGCAATACACAAGAATTAGTTAATAAAGTGTATATAATATAATAAGTCACCTAGAATAAAATGTAAGTCGGAAGCCTCTTTAATAGCAGAATCTAGGTTTGTCAATTTCTGTGCTTACAAGGAACTAATGCTACGAAGTGGTGGAGCTGTGCCATTTTCCGATGTATAACTGATCGATTGAAGTCGGTTCCAGCCTAAGGCTCTAGATTTGTTATATTGATAAAAATAAAGATAATTATTGGGCTTTGCATTGTAAGATTTTTACGGTAGTAGTGAATTATGTACCATATAAACAGTAGATTCTGTTATAAACTATTAGCCGAAGATAGACATATCTTACTAATGTAGTAGACTAAATAATTTATGAAACAAAACTCAATTTTACTAGAAATTGCAGTCCTGTTATTCAGCACAGTTTTTGATATTCTTTATGTCAATATTAAAAATATCCCTTTTTAAATAGGACTAAAATTTTGTCGTATTTATTACGATGAGCGCCTTTATTAATCATATTAAAGTTTAGTGTTAGTAAATTTGCTTTGTATTGTGATGTTGACTATAATTTCGACTAAAGTAGTGATAAAATTATAATTCTGTTTCGGATAATATTGAATACAAATCATTCTGTAGTTCAATCAACGAAACGCCGCAATATTCGCATACCATACACGAACGTGATTAATTTAAGACAAATTAACTAACCAATAAACGTATTGTCTTAAATCGATCCCATAATTTCTGAGTATAATAGTCATGCAGCACTTTAGTAGTAGTTTAGTTCTAATAACGGCGATGAAAGCCAAAGATTTGCTTCTCGCATCAAATCAGAAATATGAATATCGTATTGTTATGGTACAAGTACACTATGAAAGATATCATATGCGCTGATTAAGTATTTATTTCGTAGTAGATTTCTGCCTATATAGGTTAGGTTGACTAAACTTTTGTAACTGACTTGTAATTGCTAATGATGCTCATTAATAACCATTTTTATAATTTCTACGAGTAAACTAGCGTTGGTCGTTTTAGTTGAAATAAAGTAAAAGTAGTTCAACGTTGTGAAATTTGTGTGATTACAATCTAGAAGGGTAGTTTTAAGCCCAAACTAGAGTAGTAGTTGACAGTAGCAACTTAAAAGAGCAGCGTACTTTACTTTATACTTTGTCAGGATAGTAGTCCGTGACACGTATATATAATTTAATTCTTCACTAGCTAACTTTAAATAACTAAATCATAAATTCTCATTCTAATTAGATTTAAGCTTATACTACTAAAAGTCTTTTTCTTATCTCGGGTTATGGACTAATATCCAAATACACGATATCATTACTTACAGTATTCTTAACGTGGGCAAATTTGCAACACAACGTAAGTCAAAGCTCTTTATTTTGTTGCCATGGAATACGCTGTAAAAAATTAAATCAATTTTGATTAAAATTTGAACATTATGCGGTTTAGCAGCAAAATTGTAGATATATCAACTGGCTCATCTTCTAAGTTCAAGTTTAATCTTTATATCCAGTAAAACAATTTAAGATTGACTTAATGTAGCCATATCCGCATTTTCTTATTTCATTTAAATTGAGTTGGTTCGAAGCAGGAATTGTTTCTAACTACAGTTTAAATCATTATTTGCTAAAATATTTAGATATAATACTGTGATAAAGTGATCTTTCAAAACAATAAATCAAGAACTACAGTTTCTTGTAAATTCCACTTTATTACAGAAGTTAGGTTCGTCTAACTACCAAGGACTATCTGACTATCTGACAATCTACTTATTACAGCAAAATTCACGATTTATATACGATTAGTTACAGAATGCTTTTACTGTAACAAATCTTATCTTGCCCATTAAGTCGCAAGATCAGATCTAAATTTACCATCGCGCAATCTATTCATAATTCGCGCGTCTATTTAAAGCATTACAATACAATACTTACAGTACTAACATACTTAGCGCAAATCTATTTACATCTCAGATCTTTATATAACCATCTTAATAGATTCGCTACAATACGTACTGTAAACATCTTCTACAAATAGACTCTTACACAATCTTACGCTCTAGCTTACAAGTTAAGTTATTCTCGTACAGTCTTATAATAGTAATCTAAGCTATATTTGGGGCTGCACTACAAATACCTTAATAGTTAATTAAATCAGCTTCTTCTGCAAGCTAAATGAGTTATAAGTCTCTATATTTCTTCTAGTTTATAGGATTTAGTGCTATAAATCGAAGCTTTTACTCGCAATTTTAATAATTTCATCATATTTTTATTCTAAAATAACTTAGGAACATATTTCTCTAAAGTTGACAAACATTAATCTTCGAGAAGCAAGTGTAGAAGTTAATATACGTATTATATATTCGACGGATACAAAAAGGGGTATCTTATTATATTAGGGTGCTGCTAGATTGAATCGGTAATGTTTGGATAGGTGCGTCTTTAATAATTCCTAATATACCAGTTCCATAATTATAATAATCGACTTACACTTCGTAGACTTGGGGTAGATTTTGAAATACTAAATTAGGCAAGCTGTTTATCATGTTATGCGCCAAAATTCTAATAGCAATGGAAATTGCATTTATTAGAAGATATGAACGCAGCTGATTTTTCACTGACTATGTCTAAAAGCTATTACTCTATTTGCATATTAGCTATGTAGTGATCTCCGACATATATATCAGTTTTAACATATATAATGCTTACAACTGCTGCAGCTTGACCAGGTTTGTAAATGCGTTTTCTTCTATTACATTTATCAGATTTCCTGTGAAATCTCTATTTTTGAGAGAGAAAAACAAATAAATTTAAATTTGACTTTGCTATTTCCTTAAATTTACGTAAATTTAGGTCCTTATATCAGTACAACTGCCGTTAAACTTAAATGACGTGTTGACAAGATTTTATAAATTTTAAAAGCACGAAGTAATTGCCATGGAATCTTTATTTTTGGGTGTACTATGAATATAATATGAATCCGTGTAATAAAAATATTGCCTAATTATTACTGATCCTCAACAACCGAAACAATAGTTTACTTCCGAACTTAAAGAAAGTCTAATCTTATTACCATCAAGCTCTCTAACATATAGTTGGGCATCAATTTACACATACAGCTATAAAGATTTAACAAGTTTAAGATAAAAACAGTAGTTCAGATCCAATCTTATTCAATTACTTTATATGAAAAATTATGAGATATCATTAGTAAGGATTTATCATGCTTATTACAAAGATTTCAAGCTTCATAAATTCTTAGTAAATGTAAATTAATAACTAATAATTCAGACGAGAATTAGCAGTTTTCAATAATTTACACGCAAATAGCATGAATTTTTAATTATATTTGTGAACATAGACACCTTCTCTACATATAAATCGACATACTGCGTATGGTCTGTAAACTCTATACGAAACACTATAAATTTGAATTCCCTGCTTATTAGAATTACCATTTATACAGTATTTGATTTTGTATATTAATTTTACAATACTATTATAGCTGGTAGTATGTACCGCGACATTAATATGTTGAATTTAAGATTTAGATTCTGTTTAGATATACAGTAAATGCATTATAGTATCATTATAGTATTTATCTACATGGATACAGTAGTTCAATCTATAGCATAACTAGAAGTGACGTGGTTTAGCGATTTTTTCATATTTGCATTTTTAAGACAGAAGATATTATTGCTTGCTTTGAAACCTTGATTGCGAGTAGGCATACTGAAGATAGTATTATTTATGGGGTTTACATTAAGTATATAAATACAATGCAAGTTTGGAGAAAAGGTGTTCGTGAGCTATTCTTAAAATCGAAATATTTTAAACTTACAGTGTTTTTAGATTTAGCAAGGAATCGAACTGGTAGGATGTCAGGTTGGTCATCTTATTGCTTGTTAGATTTCTTGCGTAATGAGATAAATCAAGGGCATAGGAGAATATAAACTTAAGTAATGAAATACGGGTATCGATTGATTTCAATATCCGATGAAAAGCTATTACGATGTGTAATACTGATTGTAAATAAACTAGTAAATATTCTTGGTATGCATGTTATCAGTGCGATAATAAGGCAATGATTCACCACGAAAATTAAGCGAATTTCCTCAACATCCTTTCAACAAACTAATGATAGAAGCACACTCAATATATCAAGAGTAAATTTCTGTTTATAATTTTTGTTTATATAATATCTTATTTCATAGCAATAAGAAGTAGAAGCGATATGTCTATTGGGTACATAGGATTTATATTAAATTTTACTCCATAAATTGTATATTAAATATAGTTTAATACGCTTATTTAGTATTTTTCAACTTTAAGAACTTTAGTTAGACTATATTTTGATCATCTTTAAAGGCAAGTACTTTATACTAGCACTGCATTGCGTTGTAAAATCAAATACGATTGGAGTTGATTTAGAATGATACAAAGAGATTTTAAGCATACAGAATTTGTAAATTTGGTATCAAGTTGAATGCACTTCTTTCAATAAGGCTAATCTCATTGAATTGTAATTCTCTGAAAATTGAAGTAAATAGCACATATTGTATGAGTAATACACGATTATAAGGAAAATAGAAATGTAATTGAATATTATGCACCTAAATTTGCCTTCAGATATTTAATACTACCTTATTTTCTTTTCAAATGCTAATAGTATTCAACAAATCTGAGCTATAATGATAGATTATCACATAAGATTTCGATATCTTACAATGTAGTCATAGCAGGTAGAAATGGAAAGCTATCATTCTTAATAGATTGAATTCGATTAAGATTCAAATACCTAAATTTTGAGGTGATAACGATTTACAGTCACGTATCGCCAAGCTTTTATATTGCTATGACATTCATCAATTATCTTTACGAGTATTATCGCATAATATACAGTATTATTTAATTATCATATAAGTAGTAAATTGATTACAAAAACATTATAATTTCGTAACGTACAGTACTTGTAGTTGGTAGAGTTTAGCAAATTTATAGCTTTCGATTTGAAAGGGTTTTGGAAATAAGCCAGAAATGTCACTATTGCAAAAATTTAAAATTAAATATTAAATGACGGTAATGTACTAAAAATTACGTTCTAGTTTTAAAGATCTTGGCTTGTCATAGCAGATAACAATTACATCAGGTAATCTGAGAGAAATAGTGGTTTTGATATTAATATTCAATACTGAACAAGAAGTACATAATATGAGAGAAAGAGAGGATTATGATGTAGTGAGATCGCTACAATAAAGCAGGGGAGGTCAAGTGCGCGAGCTTTACGAGCTAGTAAAACTACCTTTTAATTAGATAGATAATAAAAAGTTTTTTAAAAGATGAGAACATAGCATGAGATGTACTATAATGAGAAATAGTAGTCAGAGCATCCCACTTCTATGGTGAGATTAGTCTTTGATACGACGAATTTAAATATTAATTTAGAAATATGCTAAAGTAGATGTAATATGGTAAAGTAAAAATAGACCGTATCGTTTATAGGAGCATATACTATCATGGCGATCGCTAAATTGGTATTTAACTCCTGTTGTAATATTGGTCTATTGCGTATTTAAAGTATACTTGTTGACTTAAGAAACATACACTATATAGTGCATGTCCAGTTACTTCCATACATTGTGTATTTATTCATACTTACAGATATTTTAGGTGAGGATGAGCACTGAAGCTGTAGTTAGCATGAGTAATGCTTTGAGAGATTTTCCTGATCCCAATTATTGATGGTATAAAATAAACAAAGTTTAAGTGAGTATAATGCAATTGTTTTAATCTAGATATATTCATATATAAAAAGAGTCTTCAAAACATTATAACAAGAACTGTAATTACTTATAAAACTGCTCTTTAATACATAAACTTGGATCATCTGACAAATCAAAGACTAACTACTTTCAATCAAGTTTTCGACGATTTGTATACTTATAAGTTACTGTAATATTTTAGCAAAATAACCATAGATTACCAACTAAGTCAGAAGATCAAAACTAAATTTATCATCGATAGATCTATTATCGACCATCGCTTCTAATTGGTGTGCTACGATGAATTCTTTATAAAACTAAATTACTTAGTGTAATCGACTAGTTATCTTGAGGTTTCGATATATTCATCGTCATAGAAAAGCTACAATGCGTACCATAAATACACTTTTGAAAAAGATACTCTCACTGAACGAGTTATTGTGAAGAATCAGATTATGAAATTTAGTAAATGTAATATTGTATTATGATGATCATACTTGACTACGAAGCGCAAGAATCACTGTAGTTATAATTACTTGTGTAAATTATATGCTGTGAGCTAGTTCTCTAGAATTAGTCAGTAGATGTCTATGACTAGAAGTATTTCTGCTTTAATTTGGTTGTCTAGTATACATTAACTACTACAATGTTACGATGTTTCATTAGTGTTAGCTGTCTGGTTAAGAGTATATAAGCTCGACAGACAGTGGAGCAAGATCAATTTCCTAGTTGTTAGCGTAAAAGCAAAGACTTCTTTAATTTCTGTAAAAAAGTCAATAGAAATTGAATCCCAGAGACGTTGGGTGTTAAGAGATTAGTTTTTACGTAGTCCTTATTGCGAAGCTGTACTGTGATAGATACTTGCCTAGTCTTGTAATCAAATGTACAACTTACACTATTCTCTTACTATATTTTAAATTTAGGTTTAACCTATTTTAGGAATTGCTCTAATGTTTAGATGTTCTTTAAGTTTAGAACATAGATTTTAGAAATTGTTAACTTGAAAGTTAAAATTTCAAGTAATAAAATATATATTATTTGTTAATATTTCGTACGTACGCGTGTATAAGGCAGAAATTAGGTGTTAACTACCGATATGCAATAGAGAAGTAGCTCTACTATGTTGATAAATAGGGGGCCTGTACTAACATTAGTTGGAGCTTGTTAAAGTTGGATATAGCACTAACTTCGCCATCTCTAAGGTCCATACCACTGGCATCTCTATAAAGCAATGTAGATATTATGGTTATATAATTGTTAAGAGGCATTTTGTTGCTATTACGGTTATTTTATTAATAATCAAAGGCCTGCGCTAAATCACAACTTATTGATTTATTTTATATTTCTAAAGCTATAATAGCTATAAAATTGCGCGTAATTTCTCCATTAATGAAGGTGTTCATTACTGAATTACCAGATGTAGACATACTTACAGACGAAGTGTATTTCTGAAAATATGGAAGGCACCTGTACTTAAATTTGTTTGTTTATGGACTATTTCGTTACTACGAAGTATACTTTTATGATATCCAAGATAAAATGATAGAATAGTTAAGGTATTCATTTAAAGTGATAATTTTACTTTTTTGTATAAATAAACTCTAATAGTGCATCCTAATTATTATAAGATTGCGTTCTGAATAAAAGAAAATAGTAGAATATAGATGCTATTGCATGTGTGTAGTACGAATGGACATGATATTGAGTATAGACGGAGATGCCTTACACCGTTTTGAATCTTTTAAAAGGTGATGCTGAAGTTAAACCATGATAATTTGATATAT